GGGGCCCTGCCCGCGGCCGCGCAGCTCGCAGCGCTGCATCCCCGTCCCGGCCCCGCCGCCTCCCCTCACGGCAGCTCCAACGGCCGCGCCGCGCGGGACCGGCCGCGGGAGGGGGGGGCGCGCACATGGTACGTCCCGCTGCCGTGTCCGCAATGCGGGGCGGTGGGGGGAGGGGGAAGAAGCACCCCCGCTTTCTCGGCCGCAATGGAACAGRCCACCAGGCCGGGCGCCGCGCAGCCTGCCGGGAGTTGTAGTCCCCACCACGGCAATGGARACTGCGGCGCGGGCGAAACGTCATTACAAATAGGAGGAAAGCGCAGCGACGCGCGCGCTGGGATGGGGTGGCGCTGAGCGCGAGCGCAGTGCTGGGAACCACTGCGAACCGCCTCCCCGCCTGCACCGGGGGAGCCCGAGCCCCGCGCGCCGCACGCGCCGACATGCCGCCCCAGCCCCGGGGGCGGGACTTCCGGCGCCGCCGTTCCCGCGGGAGAGGCGGGGCCGGAAGCGGCGGCGGCGGGGCCGAGTTCGGCGGCGCCACGTCTGGCGCTGCGGGCCGCGCTCTCCCCTGCTCGCCTCGCGGGGCGCCGGCGCCATGTCGGACCTGGGCGACTGGTTCCGGAGCATCCCGCTGATCACGCGCTACTGGTTCGCGGGCTCCATCGCGGTGCCGCTCATCGGCAAGTTGGGCCTCATCAGCCCCGTCTACCTCTTCCTCTGGCCCGACGCCTTCATCAACCGCTTCCAGGTAGGCGCCGCACTACAGCTCCCGGCGTGCCTCGCGGCGCCCGCGCCGTAGCGGTGCCCGCGCGCCGCGCGCAGGGCGCGCTGGGAGTTGTAGTGCGCGAGCGGCGGCCGCGCAGAGTCCTCTGTTATGTTGGAAGTTAAAATCCCTCAGGTTTGGTTTGCACRAGGTTAGGGCGTAGGGTTCTCTGTTGAATCGAAGTGGAAAGTGAAGTGAAAGATTTCACCCCTTAACACTCTACCGTGGTGCTCCTTATGCAAACAGCGGAAAAAGAAGTGCAAAACACACAAATAAGCAGCTCTTTCTGCAGTCTATTTTATGACAGACCCCTGATTTTTTTGGCTTAAGTGGCTGTCTCTTTGTGCAGTTCCGTTAATTGCCCTTGGGCTGTGGTGTTTGGGATCCTAATACGTTACTCTGAAATGAGGCCCTTTGAAGTGGTTCTTTCATAAATAGCTGTTTTCTGTCCCTGCTGCCTCGCTGATGACAGCGCCTGATACTGATGAGGGAGTTTGTAGGGTGAGTGCAAAATGCTCAGAACAGTGTGTGTTGCTATCTGGAAATGTATTTTAAGGCTGCTGCTGTTTGAACTCCTTGCTGAAGGTTTGTGTCTGTATAAGTTTGAACAGRTGCTCAGTGGACACCTTTAAAACTGGGTAGACAATGACAAGGCAACAGGTCTTGCCCTTCTTCAGCAAGAATGTTACACTGCAAAATTGCTCAGTGCTGTGGGGATGTGGTGGGAGTGATCTCAAAGATTTTGCGTTTTTCCTGTCGCGGTCTGGATARCTTTGCTGCTCAGTCTGTGAAAGGAAAAGCTTGTAAAAGGCTCTGAAGCAGCAAGAAGGGATACCCAGGCTGGTTCTCTCTAATCTGCTCCTTAATCTTCCACAGATCTGGCGGCCGATAACTGCAACTTTCTTCTTCCCAGTGGGACCTGGAACAGGATTTCTTTATTTGGTGAATTTGTACTTCTTGTATCAATATTCATCACGGCTAGAAACAGGTATGTTATCTGTTAAGCTGTAAACAGTGCCCGGATTTAATTTTGACTTGCATCATATGACATAATGACTTAGTGTTGTSAGTTAGAGCTTTTCTTGGCTCGTGGCACAGGCAGAGACACGTGGTTGAGCTGGGCAGAAATAGGAGGAAATTGGCCCATCTCTGTGTCCACTTGTTCTGGTCAGTGGGTAACTGCTCTGGAAACTAAGTGATGTTAGTGACCCTTTTTCTTTGGAAAGAAGCTTATTCATTTGGGGTCTAAACGTGACTGTTCTCCTGTGGATACAGCCTGGTGCATCCAGCTGTTGGAATTCAGGGTGTGAGGATAGAAACCAACTTTACATCTCTCTGRCTGTGTTTGATACCTTTTTCATGGAAGTTTGCTAAAATGTGTGTATATATATAAAACAWATATGTCATGACAACGTATATGACATATATTCCCTTTGGGAAAATGAGTCTTGTATTCCCTGTGTTCTTCTATASTTTGACTTGAGAGAGACCTTGTATGAATGAAATATACCTTTCTGTCAAATAGAAATGTTAAAAGATTAGTAACTTAAGAAAGGCTGGATATCAGTCTTTAGGGGGGAGGAAAAAGGGAACAGGGAAAAAGAGATCAGGTTATGGAGAAGAGCACAGGTTATGGAAAAAAGCATCATTTTGATGGCTTCAAAATAGAGATTGTTATAAGGTAGCTTCAAAATTCTTTTCTGTTGTACTTTCAATTAGGACTTGACATATATTATTGTAGAGGAGATAATTAAGCTAAAGTTCTTTTATTAATACATTGTAAGGCATCTCCTATAGTAAAAACTTTTGTAGGCCAATACGCTGTAGCACAAGGTCAGGAAGGGAACTGGGGTGCATTTGCACTCTTGCTATATGCATCTGGAGTTTGAAACTGGGAACTCTGCTTATCTGATGTGTTTCTGTTTGTTTTGATGCGTGTCACCTCTTTATTCGTGGTCATTTTTCATAGTGTAAAGTTTTTAATGGGGTCAGTCATTCCCTTTCTTCAAAAAAAAAAAAAAGAAAAAAAAGAAACTTAGCTTCTGTAGTTATTACAGTGAGAGATGTAGGTTGGAGGGGAAGGATGGTGTTAATGTGTTTACAGGTTGAATCAGCAGAGATCTGTCTCCCTTTGCCAGTGGAAATGAGGAAGTCAAAGTCTTTATTTTCAGGGCTGTGCCTGGCTTTTGAGCACACACCACTGCTAGATGTTAACTTCAAGTCTATGTGGGGAGGAGATTTAGCTGTAAAAATACCCATATGATTGTGTGCCAGGCCTGTTGTGTTTCCCTGAGGAGCTGACCTCTGCCTTCCTGAAGAAATGAGACTGAGGTGTTTTGTCTTGCTTTGCTTGTGAAGAGCAGAACAAATGTCAGCAGAGCAGAGGGGCACATGCAGAGATTGCTTGGTGGCTGTAGGAGTGAGGAGGAGATGAGGCTGAGGAGGGATGAGCCTGCACCAACTCCACAGGTGGCTGCACTGTGTTTTAGGGCCCYGCTGATGGATCCAGGGGCTAGAGGCCACCTCATCCCTGTGCCGGACTGACTCGTCACAGCAAAGGGCTTTCACACCACGGGAATCTGTCACTTCTCCTGAGTCTGCAGCTTGGTTTTCTCAGATATTAAACAGAAAAATCAACTCAAACACTCTAGGATCAAATTCTAAGAATTTGAAAAATGAAAAGTGGAAAAGTTGAAAGGAAAAAATATTTCCTTTGCTTCCTACAGTGTTAGTGTCCTCTATTTGTTGACGTTTGTTGTGTGGCAACAGTAAGGAGAAAACTCAAATTCGGATAGTTTTCCAAACTTAAAACTTGCTAAAATATATTTTTGAAGTGATTTTTATGTTCTTGCTTCATCCCCAAATTTTATGGCTAAAGTTAAATAATAAAATGACTGAATTTTGTTTTACACAAGCTGAGCCCCTCTAGTTGATTGCGTGTGTTTGTTTTTGCGATAGTGCTGAGATGGTGTTTTTAGTTTTGGGGGCATGTAAAGTAGCTGCAGTCTAAAGTAGCTGCAGTCTATTTTAATGTCTCTTTTTTCAACTTATTCCTTTGGTGGTGGCTGTTCTTGGGAATTTTTATGTTTGGTTTGGTGCAATTCAGCTTGCTTCTGGTGCATTACGTTTGTTACTGTGTTTTGAGTGTATCTCACTAATATTCTTGGACTTTCCATGCCTGTATGGAGTTATATTAGACTTGATAGGGATCACCCTCAGAAACGAGGGCTGTGATACGAGACTTACCAGAATCTGCAAGAGTGGGAGCTTAGGGTTTCCATGGTTATGAGGTTGGTTTGTTTGTTTTAAAGCAAAAATCTCTTGAAATTAAAATGTCTGTTCCTGGTTCTGAACATGCATCAAGCTTGTAGGAAGGAGCAGTGCATGCATGTGCTGCACGTGTGTGCTCCTCTGCCACGTTGGTTAACTTCTCTGGAGCCTAAAAATAGCCCTATCTCTTGAGCCTGACTAGATGATGCAAGAAAGATGCAAGTTGGCTAATAAAAGGACTAATTTTCCTATGACTTCACAGTTAAACTCTGTCTCTACTTCTGCAGTGTAACTATATTTTCTTATTGCGTGCTTCTGAGTGGTGACTCCTTAAGAAGGACTGGATCTGACTCCCATTACATGTTAGGAAGCTAAATCCACTTACTTCCAGCAGAGTTAGTGTAGGGGTGTGTGTGTGTGTGCAGGTGTCTTTTTGGTTGCTCTTGTTTTTAATGTGAAGCTGAGGTATGCATGTCCAATGCAGTAGGCTGAATGTCTTGGTTTCTAGCCCTGCAGGTTGTTCCATTACAAGGAATACATAAATAAAACCAAACCCATAAGTTACAGGCTGTACTTAAGGTARCTATTAGTACATGAGGTTTTCTTAAACTTCTAAAAGTAAAGAAATTAAGGAGGGTGATTTACAAATGTTAGCTTGCCATATTGTGGTCCTTGCCTAGTGTTGGTTGCCATCATCAACTGTCTGTCTTATTAAGTTAATTCCTACCCACATGGTGTCTTGATTTTTTTTTTTTTATCATGTTTTCAGTACCTTGCAAGGGTTTTCCTAACGATTCTTCTTATTTACAGGTGCTTTTGATGGACGACCAGCAGATTACATGTTCATGCTCCTGTTTAATTGGATCTGCATTGTTGTATCCTTCTGCTCATTAAACTTCTGGAATATTTTGGTTCTCCTGTTTCTACCTGAAATATGCTGAAAGTCAAGGTTTTATCAGTAGTTTTAATACTGGTGTTAAAAATGTAGTGAGAAGAAGCAGCAAGTGAGCTGGAGGGAGGTTCTTAAATCACACACTAAAAAAGGTGTGTGATTCAGGGACTAGAGTTGTACTTATATAATACTCTGTGCTTCATGGATTTCTGTCGTGTTCACTGTATTTTCTCAACTAACCACTTCTGTGCRTTGCCCTGTGTGTTAGGAGCCCATGTGTTAGTACATTTAGTGTGTTTAAGATGGCAGGGGCAAACAGGTCTAATCTTTGCTCTTCCCTGAATTGGAAATGCAAGGGTACCTCATGGAAGGACATGTCACCTAGTCACAAGTTGGCTGTGGATTATTTT